AATGGGTGACGTCACAATGGGTGACGTCACAATGGATGATGTCATAATGGGTGACATCGTAATGGGTGACGTAGCAATGGGTGACGTCACAATGAGAGACGCTATAATGGGTGAATGTCATAAAGAATGACGTCACAATTGGTGATGTCACAATGGGTGACGTCATAATCAATGACGTCACAATGGGTGACGTAAGCAGGGATTACGTCATAATGGGTGACGTCATAATGGGTGACGTCGCAGTGGGTGACGTCACAACGGGTGATGTCACAACGGATGATGTCACAATGGGTGACGTCACAATGCGTGACGTCACAATGAAAGACGCTGTAATGGGTGAATGTCATAAAGAATGATGTCACAATGGGTGACGTCACAATGGATGACGTCATAATGCGTGACGTCATAATGGTTTACGCCATAATGGATGACATCACAATGGGTGACGTCACAAAGGATGATGTCATAATGGATGACGTTACAATGGGTAATGTCACAAAGGACGACATCCTAATGGGTCACGTCATAATTGGGGGCCGGGGGCTGGGGCTGGGGACACCCGGCAGGCTTTGCTCTGAACCCAGGGCAGTTCTTGTCCCGCTGCTTTTATCCGAAGGCGGGTCTGAAACTCCCTTGCTCTGGTGTTTGGAAATGGTCTCCTTATTTCCAGCCTAAACTTATTCCCAGCCAGATTGTCTTTGTTGCACTCGGGGCTGGTCTGGCCACCAGCTCCTTCTTACACCCGAGCTGATTATTTGCTTTGTTTACCAATTTGCCTGCTGACAGGAATTATGTCTGGAAAAGACATTTCCCATGCCCTGGGAGAGGCTGTTTTAGCCTCTCTGAAGAAGCTCAGTAATTATTCCTGCTCTGAATGCCATCAAGTGCAGGGCTCACTGGAGAACAGCATGATTTATTCCTAAGGGGATATCGGTGCCTTCGGTGTGAATTGAAATTGTTCTTATGGAGGCTCATTACAAGTGTTTTTCATCTTTCCATGTTCTTGTCTCGTTTCTCAAAGGTGCCAGGCAGCAAGAAGAGAGCAGGTGAGCTCAAAGATTGTGATACAGAACAGTGATGTAAACAGAGGAGTGAATCACCATGAGGATGTGGTGAAATTGCCTGTTCATAGCAGTGCCAAGCACTGAAAATACAGGGATCAGCAGGGGATGAGGGAAGGCAAGACAGAGGGTTTAAATACTGACATTTTTCAGTTTGAGTTCTTTTAGCTGTGAGCAAAACACTCAAGGATCTGTGTAGGATTAGGAAAACATCACCTGCAAATCTGGCCTGAAAAGCTCAGATTCCCTCAGTGTCTTTGGTAAGACTAAAATCCATGATGTCTTCAACTGAATTATCATTATAAGTCTGTTTAAACTGTTGGTGCTTCTTAAAAAAGCAGTCCCTTTCTTCTCCTCCCTCCCTCTCCTGCCATCCTATCCACCCACTCACGCTGCTCTGGTACAAATGGTTCTGCTGTCACTCAGTAAAGCAGGTTGGGGAACTGATCTGTCTGAAGAATTGAACTGGGTTTTTAGATCAAATGTTTATTTTCCTGCCTGGATCAAGTCTGTGGTGGAGTTCACTGCACACAGGCTTGTGCAGGGGCCTCTGCTTGACCGTGCCTGAGTTGCCCATCTTCTTGCTGCGAGCTCATCCCAGGTCACCCTGCCAATGCTGTGCAGGGCTCTGCTCATTTCCAAGCAGGTTTCAGTAATAACCACACAAAGGCTTTTGGACAAAGAAAGATTTAAAAGATGCAGCTGTTTGCCTAAGCTCAAAAGGGACACGATAATAATATATAGAGCATTTGAGCTGCAAACTTCTGTCCCTAGAAGGAAAGAACCACGAGGCATTCAGAGGAACCAAAGAAAAGCATTGGAAATGTGTCAGAAAGCCTTTTTTTTTCCCCACTCAAGCCCTTGTAGCCCTGGTACTGACTGCCACTGAGCTGCTGTTTGCTACCAGGATGTCCAAAGGACGGGCATTTTAACACTAATCAAGAATTTTGGGGAGGCTGCAAGACTCAACTCAATAAACAAACCAGTCCCTGGTTACTAAGGAGTGCATTGCCCTCATCACCCACCACCAGCTTTCCTGTACGTTCCTCTGGCACAGGGCTGTGCTGTCAGAAACGGTTTCAGAGGGTTTCCAGGGACGCGGTGTTCACAGCGCTGTGTGAGAAGCTCCCTCTACTGAGAAAACCGAAGTATATTCGGTCTCCTCGAAGGAACAGCCTGTTGGGGGACGCTGGGCAGTGTGGGGCTTTCTGTGTGACACCGGGCACGTGTGGTGGGTCTCGAGAGCTTTTGTGCATCCAACATCTGAAGAAGGAAAAGATATGGACCGGGGAATGTTATCAGCTGTTTTATAGACTGAATAAATCAGAGCAACCGCCAGAATACTCCAGAGGGATGACACATACTTGCTTGTCACCTCTGGAAGGAAAACGTGGGGTTTTGGCACAGCAAGATTTAAAACCTGCCTGGTCTGAGGAGTGCACTGTGCTTCTCTCAGGGGGAACAGGGCTGTACCAGGCAGGAGAAGCACATACCCCACCTAACACCTGGCAGCCATGTCCTGGGACTGGGGTAAATTTCTGAAGAGCATGGGGAAGGGCAGCCAAACACTGCACTTTGGATAGTGTAAACATAAATGGAAAACAGCTGGTGGGATGATCCTACCTGTCTGAAGAGCAGGAACAGAGGAGTAGGAGTGGCTCCGTGTGACGTTTCTCCACCTGGAGGTATGTTCTAGAGGTCCAGGAGATTTCAAAAGACAGCAGAGACATTTCTACTGATGTTTGATTCATGAAACCTGTGTGCTGTGCCTTAGAAAGCCTTTTCTTTCAAGGGTGTATGGGAAGAATGTTGTTTATCTTCTGTTGCTCAATTGCCCGGCTTCCAGATGGTTTTGGAAAGGTCTTTATCACTAGAAGATCCATTATCCAGGATCCATTTCTCAGGCTCCACAAATGGGAGTAGACATGTATGATGACTTGAGGAGCAGGAGGGCAGAGGGTTTAGTACACTTCATGCAAGGGAGTAGACATGCATGATGCCTTGAGGAGCAGGAGGGCAGAGGGTTTAGTACAACAGCTGTTGCTGTTGGTGGCTGTTGGAAAACCTATCAAAAAGGGACAATGGACAATGGGAAAGTCAAACACCATCTGAAGGCTGAGACAAGGATTTTAGGTGGCTGCTTTAGGTGTAGGTGGACCTAATCCAATGTGGAAGGACTTGTTTCCCATCTGTGGTCGGGGAGGATCTCTGGGTGTTGCACACCTAGTCCTCGGGGTGACTTTGCTCTTTCTTATTTGTCTTCCCCTTGTCCTCTCCAGGCTCCACACACCCTGTTTGCACCGGGAAGGGCTTCACCAGGAGGAGTAACTCTGGTGCTGCAAGGCAGGAAAAGGAGC